CCTATCTGTCCCATTTTCGGATCATGTAGAAGCACCCCTTTAAAAAAGGATTGTGCGGTCTGAGTCAGAATGGGCTGAGGCAAAATGGGATGATGTCCGCAACGAAGATACATTAACAAGTTTGAATCTTAATAAGCTACTACAACTACAAGAAGGATTAGATTACCATACATTTTTAGTTTAATAATAGATCATATAGTGAAACACGTGCATATATGCAATGCTTCACGCCGCCGTCTACACGTCTTTAGAGTTTTTGATCAGTTAAGCGCGACTTAGATGAGAATGGTTGGTGTATAATATGTGACGTCTAGTTATTGCCTAACTGGCACTGCATGAATTACTTATCTCGTAAGTGTTATATATAAAAAAAAATGGGTAAACTGCATTTCTCTCTCCCGAAGTATCAAAGAGGGAAAATTGCATCCAAAGCCCAAACTAAATTTCCAATTTTACAACAGGTCCAAAGTTACCTAACGGGATTAAAACGGCCCATTCACTGCTAGCCCACGAGAAAAAACTAAAAACTAAAAAAAGGTCTTGTACATTAGCCCAGCCTAATAAAAACTAAAATGAAAAACAATATTAGCCTATTTTCTTAACCTATAGGATTTAATTTATTAATCTGTTAGGTTAGTTTATTTTAATCATTATGGTCATTTTTTGTGTATAGGAATAACAAGAATTATGACTATTTTTTTTATAAATGGAGGAGCTATCTCTCTTAATCTATCTAAATAGGTGAATTTTTATATCCCTCATTGTGAGGGGTTATCTCATTTAAACCATTCTAAAGGGATTTGTGAGTCCTCCTTCTATTTTTAGTAAATTATGAGGGATTTGTAAGTCCTCACTTGACCCTTAGTCAAATGACGCGTATAAATTCTCAACATTTGTTATGACGTGTTTGGAAAATTCTCAAAATGGAACTAGGGAAATCTGGTTGATAAAAATGAAGTCAGCTTTGATGCAGTCTTTTTTAGATAAAAAAGAATCAAATTTTCTCAATTTCCTAACCCTCTATAAAGCGCTGGTTGGAGAGGGAAGGAATGAGTTTTAAGTAATCTTTTCTTAAAATTCTATGTTTAGTCCTAAACTTGAGTATATTTGTCATGTAGTTTCCATCATTTCCTATTTCCTACCTAAACAAGAGCAAGTCAATGAAATCATAGGACACCCATAACTTCTGCTAGTTGTATATCCAAACACGATTAGTTCTACCACACCCCCTCCATTTCTATTCCCTCACTTTGGGATTGAATATAATCATTCCCTTCTCCTATCCTCTTTTGTATCCAAACCGAAGGTTAAACTTTGGTTGACAACCCAACAAAAACAAGGCAAGACTTGGACTATTCCTTAATCCGAGTTGATCCAGAAAAAGAAGGTGGATCAACCTGGCTTTATGAGCTAAAATGATCTACGAAAAGCTGGGTTAGAATTGACCCATCTTCTCTTGTTGATGTCAGAAGATTAGTAGCGGGATGTAGAATGAATTTTGAACAAGTTATGGTCTCGTATTATCCTCTAATGGCTAATTGTTGAGCTAAAGAGAGTCTTGCACATAAGCAACACGTTAGAAGATTGAAGTTGGATTCTTCGATGGTTCCTCCGACGATCAAGTTAGTTGCGATCTCAAGGAGAGAAAAAAATAACTTAATTCTCTTAAGTTTGTAGAATTTTGTGTACATTTATGCATAGACAATGTGCCTATTTATACTAGATCTAGAAGGGCATTTGCGTAACTTTGGGCAAGTCTAGGCAGTAGGTTTGGTTAGCTGATGCTTTACAGGTATCGGCAATGGATGATTCGAGTCATCCTTGTACTTATTATGGCGGCGACAAAGGAGCAGCAGCGTTAGCGTGGTGTGATGAGTCATTATGACTCCAAGGGAGGTGTAATGATGACTTTGACTATGTATTTAATGTGAAAGTGATTGGTTGGCGTCGCTAAATTCGAGAGAGAACACCTTTCGTCTCGGTCCTTCGAGAGAAGTCGAATGAAGACGCATTTCGACTCAACCTGCTGAGCGAGGACACCTCATATATCTAAGACGGCTCGAGTGAGGACGGTCTCGGTCCTTCCGAACGAGGACAGGTGAAGACGCCTTTCGAGCCAGCCTTCATAAGACTTAAGGTCGGGTCGATATCCATTAATCGAGACACTTGCCGCTTTTTGGAATGAGATTTGTGCTTGGTGATTTCGGTGATATAACATTTCCTAAACAAAAAAAAAAACAAAAAACAAATACTGAATCGGGTGTGAAGATCAGGTGTGAAGATTGCCAAACAGCACCTTAGACATTGTGAACATGTGCGGGCTGAGCTATATTGGGAGAGGTCATACCCGTCAACCCGATTTACCCGGTAATTAATTGGGTGAATACGGGTCAACCCTTATACCATAAATGACCCGACCCATTTAAATCCCCAACTTTCCGTTCTCTCGACGCGATAAACAATCCTCCCAGCAAAGATCGGGGTTTTTCCGTTTCGATCTCTTTGGCGGCGAGCGGTCGCGAGAGAGGCGGCGGAGAGAGGCGACGGGGCGGGCGGTGATTCTCCCGGAGCCTGGTGAATCTCGCCTCTCTTGGACATCCAATCGCGTTAAGGTATTAAATGGAAGAAATTTCGAGTGGGCCTTTACTTAATTGTATTCCAATTAATTTATTAAGTTCTAAGTCTGTAACTTAGATTTGTAATTTTTGAGTGTTTTTCGGTTACATTGTTTGAGCTTGTAAATTTGAGAGGCTGTTGGGGATTTAATTTGGGTATCTAATTTAGCAACTTTTCCTTAGGATTTCGTTGTCTTGAGTGTTTTTTGTTTCCCATTTGCTTAGATTTTGGTTTTTAACGGAGAAATTCCAAATATTTACAATAGTAATTGCATTCTAGATGATTTTTATGTCATTTTCTGATAACTTCTCTTGTCTGCTTATTGGTTATTCGAAATTGAGCATCATGATTTCATTTCGGAGTGAATTTATTTAGTTTATAAGTCTGGAACTGAGAGGGTTGTATTGAATTCCATGAAAAGTTGCTATCTTTTTTGGAATTCGGATGCGACTAGCTGTTGTTTGCTCATTATCTTTCTTGGATCATAATTTGATTAATTTCCTGATACTGTTTTTGTGAATTTGAATGAATTGTTAGATCACATGTATTATTGCTTATGTTCGAGTAGTTGACCCCAAAGATTTGGATTAAGACTTTTGCTGTTAATTGCAGCAACTTTTTTTTTTGGGTAATTTTATAGATGTCTCAATCTATAAAGCACTTACCCAGAAGAAATTGTAGTTCTCGAATTTTTCTAAGGAGTAAAAAGAATATTAAACTGTAACATGTTGAAGCCTGAAGGCAGGTGGCAGAGCAGGCTTCTTCTTTCTCTTTCTAATATATCTATCAATGACGGATTTGGGTTTATTATTAGGGTCATTGGTGTTTTCGCTCCCTATGAGTTTATCTTCTTCTGGCACTTGTCTTGCTCCTCCTTGGTTTACTCCTCCTAGCCCATGGCTCAAAAGGAACTCCAATCCTAATCTCCTCGCTTCCAGATTCCAAGCTTTCCAGTCCTCCCCTTCTCGATTTCGTGGTTACAAGACGAAACAGCAGCAGCTGCTGGTGAGTTTGTTGAATTTTGTTCTCCCCTTGTTCATTGAAAAGTTTGTTGAAAAAAATCTGTTCTTTTTGTGCAGAGAAGGAGAGTAGATCGGGTGTCATGCTTTAAGGACGAATTAGGGTCGTCTTCCAACGATGATAGTCTTGAATTTACTGATCTGCCTGAAACCTTAGAGAATCCAAAGCCAAAGTCGAATACAGAGAAGACTTGGATTTCAAACATTCAGAAGGTGAATTGTTCATCAGTTTCTTGCTTCTAATCCATTCCAGGTTCCTGAAGAGAAAAATGTTACTTTATTTTCGGGTTCAATACAGAATACTTTACTCTTCTGATGAAATTTCTGAAGTATTGGCCTCCTGGAAAAATGTACAGGAGCTCATGTTCCTCTTTATTACTATAGCAGCATGTTGTCCTGATCGGCCTTTAAAGATTGCAGTTCTTTTTTGTTTTATTATTTGATTGAACACTTACTCAATGACAGACGACTTAATGGTATCATCTGCTTAAAATCTAACCTTGATTGGTCAACAAATTTCTGAAAGCATTTGGCAAGTAGATAAGAAATAGAAGCTGCTAGTTTCATATCAGCTGTCTGATAATGCACTTTAATCTTGTCATGCACGTAAACACGATTATTTATAGTATTTAATCTTGTCATGCACGTAAACGCGATTATTTATAGTATTAACTGTTAAGAATATGAATTACAATGTCAATTATAAATGGTTTTATTCCGTACATAATATCAAAACCTACTCATCGATTAAGTAAAAGAGAATTAATATAAAAGACTTTAACCACACCTTAAGATATTAACCAAGGTTACCTACTGTCTACCCCCCAAAAGAGAGATCTTTGATAACAGAAAATTCAAATTTGTTTCCAACCCATATAAGCCAACTTGATCTGGGGGATATGTGTTGATGAAAGCCCCTGATAAAATGCAATTATAGCAAGTAGTAAGTACTGTAGTTGACTACAAATTTCTGCTAGTTTCTGGGACAGCTTGAGTGCAAATTTAGCAAGAGATCATCTGAAAGGTTGTTGCATTTCCTTTGAGAAAAAGTCAAGCTCCAATTAAGATGCTCAAGAAATGAAGGAGATAGGGACAAGCAAGAAGAGGTCTTGGTGTGTATGGATCCAAACTGATGATTAGTAATCCGATTTTTGGAGGTTATTAGTTGTTACGATGTTTGGGAAATTTTTAGAGATCTTTTGATGAAATCCCATTAGAGTATGGGCCCTAACCTGATCGGGAAAGGAGTAATTTATCTCTAT